GGTCGGGTCCTAGTGCCCCAGAGGTCGGGTCCTAGTGCCCCAGAGGTCGGGTCCTAGTGCCCCAGAGGTCGGGTCCTAGTGCCCCAGAGGTCGGGTCCTAGTGCCCCAGAGGTCGGGTCCTAGAGGTTATGCTCGTTTTGTAGTGGTCCTTGTGACATCTTTGGTCAGTTGACGGTGTCTATTTATCGGGAGGCTCGACGTCGGATAATTGAGATAATTCTGGCGACGGATATGAAGGAACATTTCGAGAGCATTAGCAAGTATCGCATTCGGCGGTCGGCTGCGGGGTTCCATTTCCGAGACGATCCGGATGATATGTGGCATTGTTTGCGAATAATTGTGAAGGCGGCAGACTTGTCGCACGCGTGTGTAGAATGGCATCAACACTACCTTTGGAGTTGTTTGATTCAAGAAGAATTCTACCAGCAAGGGGAGGAAGAGAAGAGTTTGGGTCAGCCGATAAGTCCATTATGTGATCGGGAGAGTCATATGTCATTTGCTAAGAGTCAGAAAGGTTTTTTGGAGTTTGTTGTTGCGCCACTATTTACGGAGTTGAAGGAAACAGAGCCATCATCACAGGTCGCACATTGTCTTGAGAATCTATGGACTAATAAGGAACATTGGACGCAGTTGGAACAGTCCGGGGAATATGTTCGTTTCCCAAGTTTCGCCGACAAATATCGTGAAAAAAGAAGGGCCGAATTAAGGGCAGGTGGCGGCCTCAAAGCCATGTGGCTGTACGTCAATAGACTGGCCGCCGAACGCAATCAACAACCTTCACCTCGCTTCCAACAACACGGATCCAATAGTCGAACCAGTAATCCTACTTCTACCTCTCTCAGCAACAGCGGAGAGGCCACCCAAATCCTCTACAAAGGCGGCCAGTTCGGCGAGCTAGCTGTCGACGAACAAAACGCCGCCCCAAACGCCGGCTCTGCCTTCGGATCGGCCGTCGGCACTGCCGCCGTGGGGGGACCCTCGTCCACCAACTTCAACCTCGGAGCGGTCGGCTTGGTCAACGGCCCTGTTCTCGCCGGCCCTACCCTGAGCGGACTCTCAGTCAGCGGTATTTCCCTTTCCCTAAGTGGTCCCGCCAGCGGTGGTCCCGCTAGCGGTTGTCACAGCAACGGTGGAGGCAGTGGTCCCCCCACTAGCGGTGGAAGTGGTCCACCCATCACTGGCGGAAGTGGTCCACCCGTCAGTAGTCTTCCCATCAGTGCATCCGTCTTTGTTAGCGCTGCTGGACCGAGCGCGAGATGCGGAGAAGACATGTCATCTAGCGAAGTGACGGATAGCAAAATGCGGCGGGCCGTTCGGTGGGACCTTGAAGAAGAAGAGGAAGGATAACCAAACAAAACAAATTACTAACTTGCGGCGATGGAGTCGGGGGGTGATCCGGCCAGGCCGAGGGAGGAGGACCTCCCGACGTGTCTTCACGCGTCAAGTGTCTTAGTCAAGGTTGAGCGGCGGTAACTAAAAATGATAACCTAAAAATGTTATGAGTCCGCGAATGCCCCTGCGTTGCGGATAAAGACGCTCGGACTTTGGGCACTGCTCACGTCAATTTCGTGCACGGATTCGTAGTTGGCCAGAGTGTAACCGAAACCGTAAAGAAGGCTGGTTTTTAGTGGTCCAATGTTCTTTGACAACTTTGCGGCTAGATCAAATACGACCTGCGGCTTCTCCATCGTCTCGCTCCTGTTCCTTGCGGCCATGAGCACAATGTAAGTCAGATCATGATCACTCAGCTTCGTGGCGTAAAGCTCGAGTAGGCCCAGCATCTCACCCCCACTCGACATGTATGATCCTTCAAACAAGTCGTACAGTAGGCGAAGAGAGTATTCGTGGTGCGATATGTATTCAATCAGCGTCAAAGCATTTTCGCTCTTCAAATCACTGAACTGCGATGATTTTACCACCTCGTCTAAAACCGGAGCACTGATTGAGTCTAAGTACACCGTCAGGGTACCTTCGCCGGATCCTGTTCTATGGATACTAAATGGTACTAAACAGTCTGGGTCAGGATTTTTGCCCGCTACAAACTTGAATTTGTTCGGAGCGCACTTTACAAACACAGCAATAAACTCCTCAACGCACCCGGCGGTCAAGTCAATTCGTGCTAGGAGTTCTTTAACCAGAGTCCTATCGTTTTTGGGATGATTCCCATATCTCAAATTACCTAGTAGACCTTGGAACGGCATAGTGCCCGGATCTAGCATTTGAAAGATCAAATGATAGTATCGGTCGCTATATTGGTTAGGACATTCCAATGTACTACCTATGAACGACCACAAGATGTCATTATCCGTAAGGTTGTCTGTCTTGATACTATCCCAGATTTTATCAACATTCATCTCCGGAATCTCCGGCATTTTCATTTCAGACACTTGGGTGTCTAAAGACCGGCTGCCTGGTCGGCTTGGCACCTTGTCAAACTCGTTAAGAGTCTTGGTGCAGGTGTCAGGATTATCCATTAGTGCAGCAATAATACTTCCGTGTGTTAAGCGATTGGGGAAAGGCTTGATGTATGCGGCGCCAAACATGTACGGTTTGAGATACCTCATTGCTGCGGCCCTGGTATGGGGATGGGCCATGGTCATGTTGACAATTGCGAGGAGATAATAAACCGGATTTGCAAGAACTCTTGTTACCAGGAAAACGACGTGTTTGCCAGAACTTGGCTTATCATTTGAGTGGAGCAGGCACTGGAACACATCCCTTACATCGCAGAGTGAGCAGGAAGTGATCAAGTAGGACAAGTTGATGATTGCAGGTTGATAGACACGATTGTTTTGAATCAAGTCATCATTGACTTTTTTCAAGTGTCGAACAAATCGCAAGTCGGAGTTATGTCTCCAGTACAAGTAGCAATCACCCTCGTAGTCTTCGGCAGACATTCCTGCAGATATTTCATATGGACAATAGATGCTACCACCCTCTTTCAGATCCTCCCCCAGATCGCTGATTTCATCATTTCTCAATGCGCTGCGCAGCCATTTTATGTACCTCCTTCGCTCAAACTCAACCTTGGCAGCATTCTTTCTAAGCTCATCCTTCACCCATTCTGTAAACGATAAAGGTGCATTTTGAGGTCTTAAGTGCATCATGACTTTCGGGAACAGTCGCTTCAGTAGATTCAAATAGTCATCTTCAGTGTATAGCTTCGTCTTCTGAACACAGGCACCACCGTCAAGATTTTCCGTCGTAATTCCTTTACCGACCTGTGCTCGGAACCACCGTAAAACTTTATGCCAGTGTTGTCTATACGCAACTATATCCAAAGGTCCATCATAATTATCCAATATCCTTTTGAAATCAGGCATTAGGAAAGTGAGATACTTATCAGGTAGGTTCAAGAACGTTCTGGTGCGTCCCTTCATCGCTTTCGGCAGAATAGTGCACAATAAATAGTCTCTCAAGGGTTCCACATCCAGGTATTCCTCCAAGTGGTCTGCATCCGTAAGGTCATGTCCTACTACCAGACAGTCAATGAAACGCATACCCAAATTCCGTCTTCTCGCGGAATCCTCCGTATCGTCTACGCGATAGTTGGTTACCAGCAACGCTTTCAAGACTGGTGTAAAGCTCCGTATCCACTCTTCATTTTTTGCTACTTGCAAGCACTCAAGGAAACAATTGTAAATCGGAAATTCAAAGGAACTACCACGTCTCACAATAGTCACCATATCCACCAAGTTTCTCAGTACCCAACCCCGGTGCCTCTCTTTCTTAACACCCTTCAACAAGCGCCTCATGAACAGTGGAAGGCCCTCAGTTGGAGGTAAGACCCCTGACCCCGCCTCCGTCTCTTCTAACTTGTCTACAGACTTTCCATCGTTCGTCTGATGATCACCGTCACTCTCATCACCTACGTCATTGTCTATCTCTCCGGCTGCATCTGCCTCAAGCTCTTCCTTTTCTGCCGGCGGCACATTCTTTCCTTTATGCGTTTCACAGAATATCTCGTACGCTTCCTCGGTCATAAGTTCGCATTGGCCTAATATATCTGGGTTATTGATGATGTACTTGAAGAAGCACTCGTAGCCTTGACTTCGCTCATATTCAACAGATTTATTGAGCAGTCTGCTTGCATATGGATAAAACAAATTCCAATCAATGAACGGTAAGCATGCTTGGATATGCTCCCTGTAGTTTTCATAGTCCTTTTGTTCACGAATATGACAAAACACGCGTGTGCAAATCTGAGATCGAACATTTACTGGCAAATATTTGAATAAATCGTAGGAGAATTTTTTTGCGAATGTTGATGGCAGTGGAGCATCCTCTTTCGCACCGTCATTTTTCGCGGCGTCCTGTTTTGCATATTTATTGTATAGCGCCATTGCAATATCCGTAATAAGTTTCTTAGGCCTGACATTGGATATATTATGTAACCTAAAGTTGCACGGCGCATCCATCCAAAGTAGAAACTGTTCAGCTGTCTCAGGGTATGCATAATCCGCTCTTGTCTTATGATTGTCGAGTAGTTTGCGCGCCACGGGATTCCTGAATTTGAAGATGCCCAAGTCATGCGACCAGTAACAATCCTCCGCAATTTTGCACGTCAGTTCGAACAGCAATTCATGATCTGTTAATTTTTTCAGTCGATACATCGCGACCGCCTTCCTGTAAAAGGCTTGAAACCAGGTTTGTCTTGCAATCGTATCTGCATTGGATATCGTGCCATCCATTTCCAAGCAAAGTCGTATAGCGTCGTTCGGATAGTAAGAGAGCAAAAGTATTTTTCCTTCCAGAGAAGCTCTCGTGAATGATTCGACGTCTCGAGGCATGTCTTCCGGGGTACCGTACATCCATAAATCATGCACGACGGTATCAGCATAGCGACTTTCAATAAAGGCTATCACCTTTTGAGAACGGAGAATCCGAGCAACTGATAGACACTCCTGATAGGTACACAATTCCAATAATCTCCTAACCAACTCCCATATCTGTTCAATACTCAGTAAATGATTATGATTATTAGAACCAGTAATTCTAGCCAACCTCTTCTGACACACCCTGGCGATTATCTTCAAGCCTTGGTCTCTAACATATTCATATTCACTCTTCTTAACCAATTCTAGCATACCCTCGTAATCACCATCAAATAATAAAGCGTATAAACGTAGCCACTGTGTACGTCCTGGAGCTAATCCACGAACATCAAACCTACTAAGCAAATCCACCGCCCCCACACCCTTCTCAGCTAGCACCAAGGAACGCAGCTGACGAATTTTGTTAGCATATCCATTGACAAACATGATCGACTCTCCAAAAAATGGTCTTACAAAAAAATGTCACGAACACTCGAACGCCCCCACATTCCGAATATACACGCTCGGACTTTCAGCGCTACCCGCATTGATTTTGTCGATGGCATCGTGAGTGGCTAAGGAGTGCGCAAGCCCGTAGAGCAGGGTCGTTTTTAGCGGCCCGATGGACTTTGACAACTTAGTGGCCAGATCAAATACGTGTTGAGGGTTATCAAACCTGCTGCTTTTATTGTTCGCAGCCATGAGCACAATAGCAACCATGTCATGATCGTTCAGCTGTGTGAAGTAGACTTCAATTAGTTCAAGCAGCAGCTCTTCCTTACCTGATCGACAAGCGAATGCCTCAAACAAGTCGTACAGTAGGCGAAGCGAGTATTCGTGTTGCGATATGTATCCAATCAGCGTCAAAGCATTTTCGTTCTTCAAATCATTGAATTGCGTTAATTTTACCACCGCGTCTAAAACTGAAGCGCTTATGGAATCTAAGTACACCATCAGGGTACCTTCGTCTGATGCTGATCTATGGATATCAAACGGTACCGAACGGTTAGGATTAGGGCTTTTGCCAGACATAAACTTGAATCTAGTTGGCGCGTATATTACAAATACTGCAACAAGTTCTTCTTCATACCCGGAGGTCAAGTCAATTCGTGCAAGGAGTCCTTCGACCAGAGTCCTGTCGTTTTTGGGATGATTCCCATACCTCAAATTAATTAGTAGACTTTGGAACGACATAGGGCTGGGATCTAGCATTTGAAAGATCAAATGATAGTACCGGTCGCTATATTCGTTGGGACATTCCAATGTAGAACCTAAGAACCCCAACAAGATGTCATTATCCGTAAGGTTATCTGTCTTGATACTATCCCAGATTTTATCAACATTCATCTCCGGAATCTCCGGCATTTTCATTTCAGACACTTGGGTGTCTAAAGACCGGCTGCCTGGTCGGCTTGGCAACTTGTCAAACTCGTTAAGAGTCTTGGTGCAGGTGTCAGGATTATCCGTTAGCGCAGCAATGATACTTCCATGTGTTAAGCGATTGGGTAAAGGCTTGATGTATGCGGCGCCAAACATGTACGGTTTGAGATACTTCATTGCTGCGGCCCTGGTATGGGGATGGGCCATGGTCATGTTGACAATTGCGAGGAGATAATAAACCGGATTTGCAAGAACTCTTGTTACCAGGAGTACGACGTGTTTGCCAGAACTTGGCTTATCGTTTGAGTGGAGCAGGCACTGGAACACATCCCTTACATCGCAGAGTGAGCAGGAAGTGATCAGATAGGACAAGTTGATGATTGCAGGTTGATAGACACGATTGTTTTGAATCAAATCATCATTGACTTTTCTCAAGTGTCGAACAAATCGCAAGTCGGAGTTATGTCTCCAGTACAAGTAGCAATCACCCTCGTAGTCTTCGGCAGACATTCCTGCAGATATTTCATATGGACAATAGATGCTACCACCCTCCTTCAGATCCTCCCCCAGATCGCTGATTTCATCATTTCTCAATGCGCCGCGCAGCCATTTTATGTACCTCCTTTGCTCAAACTCAACCTTGGCAGCATTCTTTCTAATCTCATCCTTCACCCATTCTGTAAACGATAAAGGTGCACGCTCAGATCTAAAACGCAGCAACCCCCCTCGAAACACTCGCTTCAGCAAATTTAAGTAATCATCGTCAGTGTACCGCTTTGCATCCTGCGGTCGTGGACAAAGCTGGTCGTCTCCGTTGTCTGTTATCTCCGTTGTGTCTTGTCTCCGTATAATATTACCAATCTGCGCCCTGTGCCAGAGTAAGATTCGTCGCCAGTGTTGCTTATGCGCAATTCGAAATAAAGGGTCATCAGAACTATCGAGTGCCTCTTTAAAATACGGCATTAGAGGATCGCCGTATTTACGTGGTAAGTCGAGGCAAATTCTGGCTCTTCCCTTCATTGCTTTGGGTATCACGGTGCACAACAAATATTCTCTCAATGGCTCCATGTTCAGGTATGTCGTAAAAATCTTAGCTCCCATTTGGTTGTGCCTCAATATTAAACAGTCAAGGAATCGCTCACCCATCTCCCGTCTATTGGCTGCGTCGTCGGCATCGTCCAAGCGGTAATTCGTTACAAGTAACGCTTCCAAAACCGGCGATAATTCCCTTATCCAGCTTTCATTTTTTGCCGCTTGCAAGCACTCAAGGAAACAATTATATATCGGAAATTCAAATGAACTACCGCGTCTCACAACATCCATCAGCCCAATCAAATGGGTTAAAACTGGACTACGTAGCTTTTCCTTCTTAGCACCTCTTAGAATCCGCCTCATGAAAAGCGGTATGCCCTCGGTTGGAGTCAGTAATAATGCCTGAGCCTCTTCCCCCCCAGCCTGCTCAACCTTGAACCTTTCCGTTTCCCCTTTATGCGATTCACAGAAGTCCTCATAAGCTTTATCCGTCATTATTTCACACTGATTGAACACATCTGGATTACCGACGAGGTATTTGAAGAAACAATGATAACCGATACCTCTTTCGAATTCAGCGGATCTGCTAAGTAACTTGCGAACATACGGATAAAATTCAGACCAATCAATAAAGGGCACGCATTCTCGAACGTCATCTGTGTCATTCAGATCGGTTCCGAGTTTGCATAAATGACGAAACACGCGTGTGCAAATTTCAGATCGAACATTTTTTGGCAAATATTTGTACAATTCGTAGTGGAACTCATTTGTAAATGTCAGCGGCAACTCAGTCCCCCGCACATCCCCAAACGATGCGCTCCCAACATCTGCATACTTGTTGTATAACGTCATTGAGATTTCTGCCATCAGCTTCTTGGGTCGAATCTTATCCATCCGTTCGAGTTGAACATAGCTTTCAATGTTAACCCAGTGAAGGAATTGCTCGGCTGACTCAGGATATTGATAGTCACATCGACACTTGTTGTTGTCCATGAGTTTACGGGCAACCCGATTCCGGAATTTGAAAAGTTTGTTGTGGCGGTTTATACACATGCACGAAAGATCGTATAATGACTCATGATTTGTGATTCTCCCGCAACGGTACAAGTTGATTGTGAATGGGTAGAAGTTATGGAACCACGACGTTGACGTAATCGGGCAAGATCTAGCCATTTCCAAGCAAAGCCGGACAGCGTCGTCTGGATGATGACGGAGCAACCGCAGTTTCCCTTCCAGAGAAGCTCTCGTGAATGATTCGACGTCTCGAGGCATGTCTTCCGGGGTACCGTACATCCATAAATCATGCACGACGGTATCAGCATAGCGACTTTCAATAAAGGCTATCACCTTTTGAGAACGGAGAATCCGAGCAACTGACAGACACTCCTGATAGGTACACAGTTCCAATAATCTCGTAACCAACTCCCATATCTGTTCAATACTCAGTAAATGATTAGTATTATTAGAACCAGTAATTCTAGCCAACCTCTTCTGACACACCCTGGCGATTATCTTCAAGCCTTGGTCTCTAACATATTCATATTCACTCTTCTTAACCAATTCTAGCATACCCTCGTAATCACCATCAAATAATAAAGCGTATAAACGTAGCCACTGTGTACGTCCTGGAGCTAATCCACGAACATCAAACCTACTAAGCAAATCCACCGCCCCCACACCCTTCTCAGCTACGAACCTGCTTCTTAGCTGATGTACCTTTGGTGCATAATCATTGACAAACATTTCCCTATCTTCGCATCCAAATTCAAGTTCAAAATTACTCCCCAGACGGGTTCCCCAGACGGTGGGTGTGCGTTTGTCGCCATCCCGTGCGTGGTCGTCTAATGAGCCCCTGACCCATACAAAAGGTAAAATGTGAATTTAAGACAACTAAAAATCACGAACTAGGTTTGTGTCTTCGGACAAGGTACGAACAGCGTCACTCAATCTTCGCCCCTGCCTTGTGAAACAATCCTGTGAGTCGCACTACAGAATAATCTGTCTAAGTAATCCCTCACACCAGAGGTGTTCATAATAAAGATGTTGTCTTCACACACACTTCCCTTAATAACCATTAAAGTGTACCGCCTTCAGTGTATAGCCTTCATAACCTACAACGTAATAACCATCTAAATGCACTCGTGTCATTTCGCATTGAAATCTAGACGAGAGATAGCTAATATGTAGGGGAAATTTGGACCGGTGATTGATCGTCAAAGATCATAAACGACTGCTGAGTTTAGCACTCGTCATCAGCCCAGCCACCCTGCTTGCGCACCTCCATGCAGTTCCTTCTTCAAGCTGCCAGTCTGTCGTGTCTGGTTCCAGCTGTCACTCCTGGCTGTCATGTCCACTCCATCGCTTGCCACTCTTGTTAGTCGACACGGTGTGC